GCCAGGCAGCAACTCACTGTCCTCCCCAAGCACAGAGGCTAGCCACCTGCTCCTCAGCATTGACAGGCCCTCCAATTCCCTGTCCTGCAAATTCCATTGTCTAAACTCACCAACGTCACCCTGCTTGGGGACCAAGATCCCCCAACTCCTTCACTGCCAGGCCAAGCCCTCGGCCCCTCTCCCCAGCCAAGACAGACCATCTCTGCCAGCCCGTAAACTGATTTCTCGACTTCTCCATGTCATCACCGCTCTACCTCAGACCCGCTGACTCCGAAGTGTGAGTCCAGTCCCTGACCAGTCCCTGCCGTCCCTCTTCAAACTTCCAGAAACGAGAGACTCCCCGAGCCTGTAATGTGTTACCACCTGCCCCTACCCAGGGAAGACCAATCAGCAACTGTCCTCTCAGCTCCTCCCAGCCAGACTCCAAGGGACCCCTCTTTCTTGACATTCTTCCCTCCCCTCAAACTCCTTCACCGCCTGGGTAACAGCAGCTGCTATTTCTGTGGCAAGAATTGACAAGGACTATTTTATTTAATCCTCACAACTACCCGCGATAGAAGTTAGCACCTCCATTTGCAGAGAAAGAAACAGGAGGTGCAGAGAGGAAAACAGCTTACTCAAAAATCAAACAGCTGGTTACACACAGCTGTTCCTCTTCTGGAAACCTGCACACCAGAAACTTGCCCCCAGCCCCACCCCGTGCCAACTTTCCCCCTGCCTCAACCATGGCCCTCCAGCCCACAAACTTTTCATCTTCCTTCCTGCTTGCACGGGGCCCACAAACTGACCACCATCTCTGTCCCTCTCCTGAAGGCTTGGGAAGCAGACACATCCAGGCCCCAAGCACATGAACCTCTAGACTGGCCCCTAAAATGACCAGTATCACCCAGCTTTCCCCCGAAAATGACCAACACTAACTGCAACTTCATGAAAGCTCATCCTGGCCAATTACTTTTCATACACAACCATATTTAGTCCTCTCTTAAAGCCTTTGTAGGGGTTATTACCACCCACTTCACAGTCGGGAAAACAGACTCTGAGGAATTAGATAACCAGCCTGAGGTCATGAAGTGAGTAAATGGGAGTCAGGATTTGAACTGGAACCTCTGCTCTCCACCACCCTACTCTGCCTATCCAGGTCTTTCTCCCCTCCCGCTCTCAACTCCCTGGACTGGGTACCATGCTATAGCCAGGGCCCCATATGACTCTTCCCCTCCCCAGCCCAAGTCCTCCAACCCAAAAGTGACACCTATCCCTGGGGCCCAGAGCCCAAGACGTGGCTGGCTCTTGATGCCAACAATCATAAATTGTCTCTTTAACGAGAACTAGCCAAACTGGCATTTATGGCAGCCCACCTATGTGCTCAGCTTCCAGTTACCATGTTTCCCACTCTCACAAAAAAGCCACAATTCCTCCACTGCCAGACTAGCAACAGTGCCTCCTCTTTCCTGGGGCCAAGTGACCCACATCTACTGAGCCAGGACCAGTCTGTGACCCCTCTTTGTGGGCTCCACCATGGCAAGACAAGCAGAGAAAGACTCAACGCTCAACTCATCTACTGAGTGACTTTCCAACTTTAGTCCTATAGGTAAAACACACACACTCCTCCAGCTGCCCTTTCAGTTCCAACACAAATCTGACCTTCAGGGGACCTAGAATCTGCAGACTTGCTCCCTCTACCAGCATCTCAGGCCAGCAAACTTCTTCAGGCCCTCACCGTCTACCGACCAACAACTCCCAATTCCCCAACTCTTTCTCAGGAAAAAAAGATTTTTTTTAAAAGAGACCCTTCTATACCCAGACCTCAAAGGTCCTCTGCTCCTTAATGACTGATAATGCTTTCTTTCCCTTCTGGGGAGAAGAAAAGAAGGCATGCAGTGACTTTTCTTCTTAATGTCAAGATCTAACACCTCCTCCGGCTATCTCACCCACCTCCAAAGTGACCATCAACTCTGCTCCTTTCCTGGAAGTTTGTTTACCTTGACTCCCTTTTCCCAACCCCAGGATTTACCAACTCCTCCGCAGCCACAGGCCTGGCTGGTTTATTCCTCTTCCTTTCAGCCAAAAAAGTGAGCAACATGACCACCCCTTGTCCTGAGGTTTGCAGACCCGCAACTTTATCCTCTTTCCATCCCTATGAGCCCATCAAATTCCACCTGCCCTTTGAACGCCAATGCTGATCCACTCTTCCTTCCCTGACTGCTCGCTTTATCCTTCTGGGGAGTGGGGGGGAGGGGGGGAGGACGACTAGGAACTCAAAGACTACCGCCCTACCGATCTCCCAAGCCTCCAAACTTTAACTGCTTGTCGTTTTAATTCCTAAAACGACCACCTTCAGCGACTGGGGGGGTGCGGGGGGGGGGATAAGCCAGCTACTTTTCACCTTCCCAACCCAACAGGCACGCCGTCTCTCACACCTTGCTGCTCTAAACTGACGACAGTCTCCTTAAATCCTCATTAGGTGCAACTTATTGAGCACCACCTCGGTGCCCGGCGCTGCACAGACTCCGGGTCCGCCACGAGCCCGCCCCCGCGCCCCGGCGGTAGCTACCGTGTCTCCAGGGGTCTTTGGGTTCCACCGCTCCAGACACGATATCCTCGTCGGAGGGGAACGTGACGCGCTTGGCCGCAGCCTTGAGGCGCCCGTCGGCGGGGGACGATGCGGGGCTGGGAGACCGGGCCTCGGCGGGGGCCTCCTCGGCGTCGCCGTCCGCGCCCGGCCCGGGCGGCGCCTCCTGCGGCGGGATCTCCATCGCCGCCGCCGCCGCCGCCGCCTCCTCACGGGGGCCCCGGGGACATGTCCCGGGCCCCGGGCTCGTCTCTCCGGGCCCGCCCGCCGTCCCGGGGCATGGGCTCCGCCGCTGCTTCAGGCGCCGCCTCCGACCGCTCTCCTGGTCGTCGTAGTCGTCGCCGCCGGGAGCTCGAGCGCGCCTCCCCCGAGCCTCGCGCGCGCCTGCTCGTTCGCAGCCGCACTTTCGTTAAGAGCCCGTGAGCCCGTCGCGGACTGAGGAAAGCAGAAAATCAATTTAAGCTATTTGCGGGTAGGGTTGTCTCGCGGGTTGTTGAAACCGGTAACAAGAGGTAGAAAGAACCACGGGAAAAAGAAACGTGAGTAGTGAATCTGCAGAGCCGGAACTGCAGAATACGAGGGGCGGGGCGAGGTGGACGCCGTCTCCCGGAGCAGCGCGCAAGCGCGAACCTGAGCCGCCCCCACCCCGCCTCCCCGCCTCAATCTAGGTAACTAACGTTCAGACTCGCACACATTCGTCACGAGCTCGGGCAACCGAGAGGGGAATGGAGTTGATAAAAATAAAAACATCTGCTCGGCGGGGCTAGGCCAACTGATAAGAAGAGAGGCAAAGGCGCAGAGAACCTGAAAGGAAAGGCGATATTAGCCGTACTGAATATATGAGTACAAGTGATGGATGCTGACAGACGGATCCTCTGACTGGAGACGAAGCCTGTGCCTCTTTGCTACTTACTCTCTAGCCCTCCATTTGCAGACAGCAGTTTCATCAATAGTTCTCTGTATTCGTTGCGTGAAATGCAATTTAAATTCAAAGACTAAAATAAATATGAGCCCATGAGGAGTATCATAGCCCTGATTAAAACAACAACAACAACAACAACTGGAAAAGGGAAGAAGTTCCAAAACCAAGAGACGAATCTGCCAACCAAAATAATCGGGCGATGGAGCGGGTAGATCGCCAAGCCCGGAGGGAACCGGCACGAGCTCAATCAACCCCCAGACCTCCCCTCAATTCAATCGCTTAATATTCGCCTCCGCACTTTCGCCAGGCTTTCCTAGCATATCCCCAATTGGGGGTCGGGGTGGGAGGCGGGGCTAAAACTAAAAGGGAGGGGGTATTCGGGGAGGAGCGAGCGACGTCGTTGCCAAGGCAACTCGGGAGCTAGGCCCCGGACTCGCTGGAGGCGGCGTCGCGAACGGACCTATGGGAGCTGAGGCTCTCCGCCTGCCCCATTCAGCATCTCCAGCCGCCGCACTTTCGCGACTGCAGATGAACAAAGCAAATCTCGTCTCTACTTAATGGGATCTTCGCTTGCGTTCTGAAGTTGATGGGACTACAGGGGGGCAGCAATTACTGTTTTAAGGCGAATCTGCTGACAGACAGCTGGTGACGGGGATAAGGGAAGCTAATGATATGGACGGTCACACAGCTTGGAGCGAAATGGAGAGGGTGAAGCTTCACCCCAACCCCTAGTCCTCAGCCTGGCCTCTGTGTCGCCGCCGCACGGGGTCCGACCCCTTCCGGAGTGGGCGGGGAAGCGAACCGGCCCCCTCTAGAGTGAGGTCCACACCGCTCTAGGGCGGGGCGACCAGGTCACCCAGAGCGAGCCACGCCCCTGGCTGGAAACACTCCCGCCCATCCCGAAAAAGAAATCGCGTCCAAAGGTCCAAACCCGGCGTTCAGGTAGCTCCAGCCATTCCCGGACCAAGCCAGTCTCCACCTTTATCCGCGCTCCTTCCAGCCCCGTGATGTGTCCTCTTCTTGTCCCAGATCCCACCAGATCCAGCCCTTGGCTAGCCACCCTTCCACTTCCTAAATCTGGCTCCATCCCTGTGTCGTGCACTTTAAAGAAAAAAAAAAAACAGGAGGCGAATTTTCCCGGGATAATTGGTTCTTTAGTAGGAGGAGAGTATCTTCAGGGTGGCTGACCTTTGCAACTTCAAGAAACAATTTCCTACTCTGCGATTTGCTTTCCACCCCCAACCCCTAGTCTTCAGGAACTGGCAAGTTGGCCCTGTTTTAAGAGTTTATAGTTCTGTGAGGTAGAGCCTTCATTTCAACGGGCCCTAGAACTCCTGGGGTTGTAGAATCTTACTGACTGCACCCTGGAGGTCCCAGGAAGCCGGAGGTGCTTGGAGCTCGGCTCAAAATTCCAAGGGCGTTCCAAACTCTCTCGGGCCCAGGACCATGTGTGGAGGGCTGGGGCCCCGGGGCGAGGCCCAAAGCAGAAAGATGACCGTAGTAACGTCTTTAGGGCTTGAAGCTGTACGCAATAATGTCACTACACCGCAGCAGTGCCTCAGCCTGCACACCAATGGGCGTCTGCAGCTGCGACACGTAGAAGTTGGCCACGTCCAGGTCGGTGGCTCCGAAGTGGGCAGTCACGTGCACGCCCTCGTGCAGTGTGAAGCTCACCTGGTGACCCACCATGGCCAGCAGGCTGCGGAGGTAGCGTTCCCGGAGTGCAGCTCGTGCCTGCTGTTCCTGGGATTCCCGAGAGTCTCGAACTACGGCAGACCCCGGGGCTTCGGGACCCTCTGGCATCAGGGGGGCCCTGCGTCCATCTGGGGCAAAGCCGCGGCTCAAGCCATCCGGGCCGCGGGGAAGCCGGATCACAGGTACAGGAATGGTCAGCGGAGTCTGCATTGTCCTGGCTGGTGGGTGAAGAAAGCAAGAAGCCGTTACACGGGGAGTGTGCAATGACAACAAGAGGTGTCTGTCTAACCCCACCTCAATTCGACTTGTCCAAAACCCGTGCCGGATTCTCCTCCTAAACTCCGTGCCCTCCCTCCGCTAGTAACCCCCTCCGCAGGAGCTGCTACCACCATTCTCCAGGTCCACGAGAGCAGGAACTTTTGACTGCTTTTATCACTGTTTTATTCCTAGTCCCTGGCTATAAATACTTGCTGAAAAGAACAAACCCCAGTCTCCTCTCCTCTCTCGCGCACAGCCTATCCAATCCAGAGGGAAATGCTCTCTCCCGAATACATTCCCAATCACACAGGAGCCGGCTTCCAACGGCTTCCGGTGGCCAGCTCTGGAATGATGTGAACATTACAATAATGATAGTTACACAGGGCGCCTGCCTGGCTCAGTGGGTAGAGCATGTGATTCTTGATCTCGGGGTTGTAAGTTCAGGGCCCACTTTGGGTATAGAGATTACTTAAAAATAAAATCTTAAATAAAATAAACGAAAAATGATAGATTATAACCCACTGAATAAAAGAGAAATCCATGAGTCCCTACTAATGATAAATAAATGAAAGAGTAAATAAATGAAGGAGCTAAAATCCAACGGACACTAAAATTTGTGAACGAGTGTTGGGTGAGGGCCAGCGTATCCACAGTCTTAAAGTACTTTCCCCCAAAATGTTTATTTGTCGTAATGAGTAAACAGTAACTTTGTAATAGAGGAACCTGGTGGACACGACCTTAACTTAGGCATCAAAGCCATCATGTGCAGTGGTGGGACAAATGGACCCCATGTGCCCCTGAGGTGATACACTGAGGACGGGGCACCACTTCTGTGGTATTCCTGCCAAAAATGGATTACCTAAATCTCACCGTGAGGAAACTCAAATTGAGGGACATTCTATAAAAAAGAGCCTGATGGGCTCAGTCGGTCAAGCGTCTGCCTTTCGCTCAGGTCATGAGCTCACGGCCCTGGGATCGAGCCCTCCATCCGGCTCCCTGCTCAGCGAGGAGTCTGCTTCTCCCTCTCATGCTCTCTCTCTACTCTCTCTCTCTCAAATAAATAAAATCTTAAAAAAAAAAGTGAGTCTGAGTTCTTCAAAAATATCAAGGCCATGGGGTGCCTGGCTGGCTCAGTCAGTAGAACATATGACTCTTGATCGTGGGGTCATAAGTTCGAGTCCCATATTGGGCACAGAGTTTACTTAAAAAAAAAAAAAAAAAATCAAGGGATGCCTGGGTGTCTCAGTTGGTTAAGCGTCTGCCTTCAGCTCAGGTCATGATCCCAGGGTCCTGGGATCGAGCCCCGCATCGGGCTCCCTGCTCAGTGGTGAGCCTGCTTCTCCCTCTGCCTCTCCCCCTGCTTGTGTTCTCTCTCTCTGTGACAAATAAACAAAATCTTTGAAGTGCATTCTCTTTACCCTTTAAAAAAAAATCAAGGTCATAAAAGACATAGCCTGAGGAGGAAAACATATATATTTGACACTTGATCGACATGGGAGTTAGAGTGCTGACCCCATGCACTACTGAAAATCCAGGTATAACTTTTGATTCCCCAAAAACATAACTACTGGTAGCCTACTGTTGACTGGAAGCCTAACTGATAACATAAATACATAAATAGTTGATTAAGACATATTTCATATGTTACATGTATCATATACCGTATTCTTACATTAAAGCAAGCTAGAGAAAAGCAAAGTTTATGAAGAAAATCATAAGGAGGAGAAAATAATTTCCAGTATTGTACTGTATTTATGGAAAAAATCCATGTATAAGTGGACCAATGCAGTTCAAACCTGTGTTGCTCAAGGATCAAGTGTGGTTTTGTATTCCGAGCCTAACGCTTCTCTCTCCACTGCCCACATCTTGGCCCAGCCACTGTCGCTCTCTGCTTGGACAACTGAAGTCACGTCCTCCCTGGGCCCCTGGCTTCCACCTTCACTGTCCCCTCACCCCAAGTCCATCCCCACCCACACAGCCAGAGGGACCTGCTTAACACCTGACACCCACCATCTAACACCTGAGTCAGGTCACATCCCTCCTCTGCTGACAGCCCTCCCCTGGCTTCCGCCCCGCCCAGAGTCAAAGCCAAAGTCCTCCCCACAGCCCTCAGCAGCCCTGCAGGCTCCGGACCCTGCCAGCACCCTCGTGGTCTGCCACGCTTCTCTCTCTACCCCAGCCTCGCTGGCCTCCTTGTGGGTCTGCAAGCACACCTGGCACGGAAGTGCCTCTCACACCCTTGCGCTTAAGGATCCCTCTGCTTGTACGTGCCGTCTGCCTTCTCTGGGCACGCCATGTTCACGTTCCACCCCACGTCCCTTCCTGCCCTCCCCAGCTTCGTCGTTCTCTGTAGCACACAGTACTCTTCTGACGTAGGCTATATTTGTCATTCTGCTTATGCCCTTTGTCCCCTGCTAGATGCCTGCCTACCCATGGGCAGTGGCCTCGCTTCTTGCCTTCGGCTGTATCCCCAGCTCCTGGAACCCTGTGTGGCGGGGACACAAAGACCCGGCCCCTTCAACACTGCTCCTGCTTGAACGAATGCAGTGGAGATTGAGCTCACAGGCCTGCTTCGCTGGGTGACCTCAGCGGGTTATCAGGATGCGACAGGCTCCTGCAGGATGGGGGCGCCTGGTTCACGGTAGCTTCTCTATAAAAGTGTAGTTACAATTGTTATTATTAGTATTGCTGTGCGACTGGGGTAAGTTGCTTAGCCTGTCTGTGCCTCAGTTTCCCCATCTGTGAAATAGGCATGGTAAGAGGACCAACCCCACAGGGTCGGCCCGGGGACTAAATGCATGAACAATCACAGTGTTGAGCACAGGCCTGGAACACGTGAAGCGCCACGACCATGATGCTGGTTGCCTATAGGGAAGTGCTGGTTCTGTGTGCAAGAGAGAGGGAGAGGGAGAGAGGGACCCAAGTTTCAGGTGGCTGCACCCCTGTCTGTGGCTTAGTCCTCTCTCAAGTGATGACAGATTTTAGGCAGCCGGTGTCCCATCCCTGGGCCACTCACCGTGCGGGGGAAATTAAGACAAACCTTTTCCTTGTTAGGCTCTTCCTGTGTCTGCAGCTCACCCGTGAGCTCCTTACAAGAAAGGACCCTGCAGAGAAATGGGCCAAGGCAGCAGATGAGGGTTTCTCAACCTCAGCATTGTTGATATTTGGGGCGGGGTCACTCTTTGTCCTGTTGTGGGGGGCTGTCGGATGCAGAGCTGTAGGATTTTAGCAGCAGCCCTGGCCTCTGCCCACGAGACACCTGTAGCATCCCCCACCCCGAGCTGGGACTCCCAAAATCGTCTCCCACTGGTGAATAGTATGGTATGAGAATTACATCTCAATAAAGCCTTTTTTTTCCTTTTAAAGATTTATTTATTTATTTATTTATTTATTTGAGAGAGAGCATGAGAGTGGGTAGAGGGAGAGGGAGAGGGAGAAGCAGACTCCCAGCCGAGCAGGAAGCCCGATGCGGGACTCGATCCCAGGACCCCGGGATCATGACCTGAGCTGAAGGCAGACGCTTAACTGACTGAGCCACCCAGGCGCCCGACTTTTTTTTTTTTTTTTACGATTTTATTTATTTAATTGACAGCGAGAGACACAGCAAGAGAGGGAACCCAAGCATGGGGAGTGGGAGAGGGAGAAGCAGGCTTCCCGCCGAGCAGGGAGCCCCATATGGGACTCGATCCCAGGACCCTGGGATCATGACCTGAGCCGAAGGCAGACACTTACCGACTGAGCCACCCAGGCACCCTCTTTTTTTTTTTTAAAGATTTTATTTTTGGGGGGACGCTTGCTTCTCCCTCTACCCACAGCTCCCCCTGCTTGTGCCCTCTCTCTCTGACAAATAAAATCTTAAAAATAAATAAATAAATAAAAATAAAATAAAATTCAGTGGATACACTCTTAAGAAATAATTTCTTAAAAAAAAAAGAGCTCTCCATATATGGGGGGAACAAAATAAAACATCTCTAGTTGAGAACCACTAGGGCGGATAAACAGGTGGGGTTGGGGGGGGCAGAAAAAGATGGCTACTCAACTCCTGAACATATTCACAACCTCACAGAGAACCAGAGAAACGCAGATTAAAGCTACAATACTGTAAGATTCTTCACCTCCCAGATTAGGGAGGACTAAAGGCTGATGAAGCATCGTGCTGGTGCGTCTGTGGAGAAACGTCTTCATGGCCCTTAGGACTAAGGGTGTAAATTAGGACAGTGTCAAAGGGCGGCAGTTTGTATCCATGAAAACTGCAACCATTGCTGGTCATTCAGCCCCTGAAGAGCCCAGGGCAGGGGACTTTTAACTGTCTACCTTTTTATGCCTTTTGCCGTCCATACTATTCAAAGTAATTTGTTTTCAAAGATTTTATTTGGTTTAAGTCATCTCTACACCCAACCTGGGGCTGGAGCTCACAACCCTGAGATTAAGAATCACATGCTCTACCAACTGAGCCAGCCAGGCACCGCCATCAAAGTAAATTTTAAATTCTAATTTCAAGAAGGAAGGGGCATATTGTAATACTCCCATGTCCCTTAAAAAATGTTAGATTCCGGGGTGCCTGGGTGGCTCAGTTGGTTAAGTATCTGCCTTTGGCTCAGATCGTAATTCCCAGGGTCCTGGGAGGATGGAGCCCCTGCTCAGTGCGGAGCCTGCTTCTCCCTCTCCCCCCACTCCCCCTTGTGCTCTCTCTCGCTATCTATCTCTCTCAAATAAATAAATAAAATCTTTTTTTAAGGTGGCTCAGTTGGTTAAGCATCTGCTTTCGGCTCAGGTCATGATCCCTGGGTCTGGGATCCCTTCTCCCTCTCCCTCTGCCTGCCACTCCCCCTGCTTGTGCTCGCTCTCTCTCTCTGTGTCAAATAAATAAATACTTTAACAAATAATAAATAAATAAATAAATAAATAAATAAAAGCTTCCACTGTTTGGTATTTGGACATTTAAAAAAAAT